ATAGATAGATAGATAGATAGATAGATAGATAGATAGATAGATAGATAGATAGATAGATAGATAGATATAGATAGATAGATAGATATCTATATAGACAGATATAGATTTAGTTAGATATGGATAGAGATAGAGATAGAGATACAGATAGAGATACAGATAGAGATACAGATAGAGATACAGATACAGATAGATACAGATACAGATACAGATACAGATACAGATACAGATATAGATAGCCTAGTAGAGGCTAGGAAGGGGAATAGTATACTAGGCTGGAAATGTAGTGCATCACTACAGGGGACTGACCTGCCATTCTAATAACTTTACTCCTTATCTCAAAAATCTTCTGGGGCTCCCAGGTATCTAATGAATAAAGTATTAACTCCTAATGTTACCATGCAAGAGCCTCTATCAACAGGCTCCTATTCACATTTTCCTTTCATTCATCATCTGAATTTTCTTCTGTAATGAGCACATCTGGGGAATCCCATCCTTTAATTCATTCCACAGCATTAGCCTAGAGATCTGGCAAAAAAGGGTTAGGGACAATCTTAGTAGGGGCTAAAATCTTGTTTGGAGAAAGCCTCTTTCCTTCTCCTCTATCCTTAGAAATTGGGTTATTCTTGCTCCAAACCTTGGAATTGTGGAAGGACTTTTAAATATCACCATTTGTCCCTTCTCCAACTTGGTTTCCCTGCTCCCTTCTTTTTCTGGGGGAAGATCTCTGATTTCAGAGAAAGCCAGACTTTGAAGAATAGCCCAGGGAGCTCATTTCCTGTGGTAAGTGTTGGCATGGCCATTCGCCTCACGGCCTTACTGTCTCAGCACCAAAATGGAAATCATTCAGAATCATAGCCACAGCTTTCCTCTCTCCCTTCCTGGCAAACTCCCCAGGGTCCTGCTGTGTGCTCAGCAGATTTAGGAAGCTCCTCACCATTCTTTCCTCATGACGTCTCCAAGTGAGGGGGACCTTCCTCCTCCTCCCTCATCCCTTTCCCTCTCCAATAAAAGGGAAGAGAAGAGAGTCAGACACTCAGTGAGGCAGAAACTTGGAAGCTGCTGAACTTGATCCTGAAGTCTGCCTCCTCCCTGACAGCACCATGAAGGTCTCTGGAGTTGTTCTGTCCCTGGTCCTCATCATTGCTGCCCTCTGCTGTCAGGTTCATGCTTCACCCGGTAAGTACCCTTGGTCCTTTCATCCCTATCACCCAGGGAGGTATGGAGAATGTTCTCTCATCTGTGTTTTCATCATATAGGAGATGTGGTCCTTTAATTTGATAAAAGGGGAACCTGAGGAGCAGAGACTTGTCCAAGGTTAGCAGCAGAGCTGGGGTCTAGTCCCAGAACCCAAATCTTTCTATCACTTCATGTTATCCTCAATTTAGCTACCATCCCAACAGCCCCTAAAATAATAGGTGATCCACTTGAAGAGAAACTCCTGGCTATGTGGCAAAAAAAAAAAAAACATTTCTGAAACTGGGCAAGAACCTTTTGAAAAATTGTGTCTGGAAGTTCAGAACTTTAACTTGATGTTAAATGAGATTGATACTGTATGAGTTAAAGTGCTATCCTCTACTTTAGCACATCTCCCATGGATAGTGACTTTTCTGCCCTGATACCTGTTTGTAGATGCTAAGTAACACAAAACCAAAGTGCTGAATCTCCAAAGTTCACTTCATCCTGAATACTTTAAATGAGTAGCATCTCCAAGAAACTTGTCAGGTTAGGATGGAATATTACTATTATTATTATTATTATTATTATGAAGCTTTGATGGATAAACTAAGGCATGTGGTTTAAATCATGTACAATCACACAGCATGCAAAACTGTTCTCATAAAATATCCTCAGCTTTACTCTGGGATCGCTTCTTGAATTAGAGAAGGGTGGTTGAAATTGGATATGAAGAGGCTGGCTCCATACCTTCCCTTTTTCCCCTTCCTTTTCTTGAGATACTCATGCTTTAAAAGAAAAGAAGGAAAGAGAAGGAAATAGAAGAGAAGGAAACAGAAGGGAAGGAAGTTTTGTAAAGCATTTTTAACCATTCTTTCTTTCTTGATCTTTTTTTTCAGATGGTCCTAGCACCCCAACTACCTGCTGCTTCGAATTCACCACTAGGAAGATCCCTTTAAAGTTGGTAGTGAGCTATGAGATCACCAGCAGCAGGTGTGCCAAGGAAGCTGTGATGTAAGTTAACCAGATGTTTCCTCCTTTTCTATTGTTACGCACTGGCAATTTGCTATGGAACTAGGGCACCAAGGGAGATAGAAATCAGATTTGACTGATAGGCTTGGAGGAACGGGAAAATGACAAGCTCAGACCTTCAGACCACCTTGTGGTCAAACACAAGACTTGATTTTCTTGCTGGAGCTATTAATACTGGTGATGAAAGACTGAGTTCCATGAACATTGATATTGATTTGATTGATATCACTCAAAGGGCATCATCCTAGAAGCATAGAATGCTGAAGCAGGAAGAAGTGTTAGTGTACAAACATTTAGTTCAGCCTTCTCATTTGACAAAGAAGGGAATGAAGTCTAGAGAAGTGAAGCATTTTTCCCAAGCTAGTTTATTAGAGGCAGAGCTGGTGCCAGGACCCAGGTCTCCTGACTCCCAACCTGGTGCTGATTCAGAAAGCTTAGCCTCACATGTTCTGATAGAAAGTCCAAAGTCAACATCTGGCTTTGTCTTTGAGTGGCAATGGCCAATCTCTGGGTCTCCCATCCCAGTTTCTAGAAGGGTTGAAATGCTGAGGGAGATGCTTAGGGTAGAATGCCTCCCCTCTTGGGCTGTATTCACAGAGCCACTCAACAAACATTTATTCTTCCACAGCTTTGTGACCAGACGTGGCTTCCAGATCTGCACTAACCCCAAGGAACAATGGGTCCAGGACATCAGAAACCACCTGGACAAAAAGAATGCCAAGACCCAGAGTCCATGAAGCCTTCGAATACTTCCTCCTGCCCATAACAGGGCTGAAGAATAATTTATTTTCCTCCCACCTTCCAAAGCTGCTCTTTGCAACATTTTATTATAATTTAAATATGTTTAGTCTTACTTAAATTATTAATGTTTAACTTCATGTGACAAATATTTGTGTCTTTATTTGGTATATGTATATATGTATATGTGTATGTATACACCCAATGTGTTGATAAAAATGATCTTATGGGAAACAATGCTACACTATGACTATTGAATTTCCACAGAAAATATATTTTTGTTTATAAAACCTGACAACTGTACTTTCTTGAGAATATATGGGGAGGCTACAGCTCCTAGGGTGGGAGGTGAGGGCACTTACAGAAGACAAGAAGCTCATGGTCATCACCCTTCCTGGCTTAGATGAGAAAATCTTCATTTCAGGGCAAACCAACTAGGAACAGGAAGAGAAAGTTCCCAAATTCTGCCCCCAGGGCTCCAGCTCCCAGCCCCATTCACTTCAAAGCCACCTCATTTACCATGTCCAGGCCTATACTCTTTTAGAATCCTAAAATCCTAGGATTTCAGAGTCTGAAGGGCCCTCCAAAGCTATTTAAGGAAACCCACACATACTAGAAGCTGGAATTCCTCTGCAAGACAGGAATATCAAAAGATTTCCCACTTAAACTCCCCCAGAGAGGGGACTTGTTGCCTACTGAGTTCAGGCAATTATCCTTCCTTAGAAGTCATTCCATATATTAACCAAAAAGTTACCCCTCTAAACCTTCTACCTTCTGGGCACAAGCAGGCCAATCTAGTTGTTCTTTAAAATGACATTTCAAATTTATTGATAGATACATAGATGGAAAAGAAAGAAAAGGAGGAAGAAAGTAAAGAAGGAAGATAAATAGCTGCATAGATATACATGGATGAAAGAGAGAAAAGAAAGAATGAAGAAGGAATGATAGATAGATAGATAGATAGATAGATAGATAGATAGATAGATAGAT